CTCAATTAACTGTGCCTTACCCATGAAATCTGAAAATATCTCAGTGTTCAACAGCAAGCTCTTTTTCATATTCCTGGATGCAATGGGCATTTCTTAAGCATATTTTATTTAAATAAATAAAGAAATTGTGATCATTGTAATGCACTAATAAGTAATTAATTGTACATGCTTTCTCTAGCTCTTACAACTGCAAGAATTGAAATCCAAATATAAAGTAATTTTTCACTTCTGAATTTGAAGTATTTGCTCCATATTATCTAAAACCTGTTTGAATCCAATGCCGTTTCATTCACTGTTGAAAAAACAGTTAATGTTGACTGTCAGAAGCTATGGAGTTTACATCTGTACATCATAAATTTCACTATCATCTGCTCCTTTTTCTACTTAAAAAGAAAAAAAAAAAGTCCCCTGCTTAAAAAAAGAAAGGAAAAAAAAGGGGCCTTTGAAGGCATCAGACCCTTTTGTTTGATGTGTGGAACAAGATTAATAAAAACGTGCCACTACATTAGCTTTTAAATAGCTAGCATGAGACAGTGCTGCTGTCTATACTCACCACAACTTTAATTTATGTAGATAACATGTTTTAGACATATGATAGTTTTAGCATTGAGTTAGGCCTGTTTCTTGGGGAAGATCTCAGATTTGTGACTGTGTTTATCTTTTGTGTAAAGACAATTAACTGGGTAATGCCAAAACACAATAGCATTTCATATTTTGAAGAATAAAAGGAAAATATTTCATGTAGTCAGCTGGTTTACAGATGTGTAATCTTTATAGTCCTTTCTCTTGCTCCAGCATGGCATTGTGACAGTATGTCCAATGCATCTAAAACTGATAAATATTGGAAGAGAAAATACCTTTTCAAGTGTTAAGAATCTATTTGGATTTATAATAATCTATGTTAATACAAATCATCCTTAAATTTGTAATTGTAATCTTAGAATTGTAAGAATATCTACATAAATATTAAATTATTTTCATGTAGTTGACACACCTGCAGCATGTTTGGTATAAGCCTTCAGGTGTTACAAGTTGCTAAGATCCTTTTATTAGCAGAATTTGATATGTTTAAATGATAAGAAGAGTTCAGAAAAATGGTATTCTGCTGGCACCAAACACTTCAGATAGAAAAGTGAATGGAGAAGTAATAATCTCTTTAAGTATAGGATGGAAGTTTTTTCTGTCATGTCCTGTTTTATACAATAACAAATATGTTGATGTATTGCTTAAAGCTGCTGTATCTTCATGTTTATTCACCTACATTCTGTAATATCAATTCTAGAAGAAGAAATTCATTTGGGCATTGCACACTAAATCTCCCACATTTTTGGAATTGAAAAAGCTCTTGTAGAAAGCTGATTTGCAAAACAAGTTCAACTTTTCAAAACAAAACTAATATGATAATTAATTTTGTATTTTTAAGATCATGATTTATTTCTTTTTAAATTTGAAGACTAAAGATTTGGGACAATGTGAACATTATCAAGGTCTGTAAAACTGGGTGAGAAAAGCAGTACTCTTTCACCAATGGAATGAAAATTTCTCCAGTTTCAAGAGATATGTGGAATTTGGTCAGTACATTTCTCTACTCTCATATCATAAGCTAGTATAAATGGAAAAAAATATATACACATTTTGATTCAACATTAAGTACATGAAAATGAACCACATATTGCACTTTTCTCGAGCTGTTCCAAATGGCGAAAGGATTTTTAGTCTTAAATTTTGGGCTTTTTTTCAGAAGAGGCTAGGAAGTCTTAGTGCTTTTAGCTACAAAATCATCCAAGGCAGATTGTGAAGAATGAACTCAGTTGTCTGGCTACTGAAAGAGACTCCTGATGATTTAAAGGGAGAGCTTTGACTTACAACATACTGATTTACCAAGAAAAGGGGTACCAGACCCCCCCTCACTTTATCAGTCTTTGATAAAATTAGGGAGGCTTGGCTGTTTTATTCTCAGTGATTCAGTTTTAACTTGTGTTCTTATGTTCATAGAAATTATTTTAAAGGGCTACTGTAAGTAATAATTTTCTTTATAAAAATAACCGTTTCATGAAAATATCACCTGAACATGCAATTGCATGGTAGATTGTTGGTAGGTTTTAGTTATACAGCTCTTGCCTGCTTTTTCCTATATGTGTTTGGAGAGCAGCATGTGCATATGGAGGTGGTAGCTGGCAGCTTGGAAATGGGAGAGTTCCTGTAAGTAGGGGAGTCCGAACTGCGGTAGAGCTCTGTGAAGTATCCTGGCCTCATGGGCTGGAAGCACCAGGTATCCCTGGATCCTCTTACTGCTCTTATTCTTGAATATTCTACATCACACTTGTACCATTAAATTTTTGTTCCATTCCTTTTTCCCCCATGTTGTTTCATTTCTACCTTTTTCTATGCTTTGCTTTCTTCCTCTTTGGTGTTAATACCTATATACTTTCTGCCAGAGCAGCTCTTCTGTTAGCAGCTAAAATCTAGTTTTTCATAGGGTGAGCTATGTAAATTCCAGGGGAGACAGGTTTCACATGGCTTTTTGGGTTCTTAAATAGAAAGCAATAAGTAAACTGTTCCATTTTAAATCATATGGAACTTTCTGATACATGACAACAAACATCGAGTGCTTTTGCCTCTTTCTTGGCAGCAGCTGAATGGAAACACGTGCTTAGGACTCATACTATTTGTAGACATTATTTCTAATATTTACAGTGAAAGGTGCATTTCAGAGAAGGATGAGTGTTTTCTCTTTTTTATTATAAGAGAATGGATCCAATGATTTTCCCATTTCAAATAATTAGAATGTTTGAGACCTGTCTACTAAATGTGAATAACTAAAATCCAAAATTTCTAGTTTAGATGGCACATAACATACTTTTTACAACTACTTTGTAGGAAATAGTATATTGAAAAAACTGAAGCGAACTTTATTCTGTCTGTAATCATTAAGCACTATCTATATACACATATGTATTTAGCATAAATTTTCATATACTCATTTTATTAAACAGAAGATTGGCTTTTGGACTCTGTTGTTTCAGGTCATACATTGAATATTATTTACATTGAATCTCTTAGTTAATGAGGCTTTATTAAAGCATTTGTGGAATGTAGCCACTATAGTATTAACTAATATTCTGAAAATAGAGGTTCTATCAACATTCTTCATTTAATATTAAAATTGGCTAAATGTGCTTTAATGTCATCCATTGAAATAAATGAAAGTGTAAAAGAAATCAGAAGTCCCTTTTAAAAGTACTGCTAGTAGGAAAATAGAACTGAGTGTGTTATGATTATGGAACTATTATATATCTACAATTAAGGGTTAACAGAGCTGTGGCAAGCTCTGTGATTACCATAACTGTGGTCGACATTCAGTTTTGCTTGCTGCTGTGGTGTTTTTTGGTCAGCATGTCTAACCACCATAACCACAGCAAAATCTTTTAATTGCTGAACAGATGTATTTCTTGGTTGTTTTCATCATGACTGAACTGAGGGTTTAATGCTCATGAGAGCACCAGGAGTGCCACCTTCCCCCAGCCATGCATGCGCTCAATTACTTGGATCAAGAGTGTCTCCTGTTGACCACACTGAGAATATATACTCTAAATACTGCCAGGGAGTCAGACCACACTTGGAATATGCTGTGTTGTAGCATTCTACTAGGTATGATTTATTTTGGTTTTTTTCGGGATATTCCTTCCCTTTCATAGAGCCTAAAGTACTTAAAGACCAACCATGATGCTTAGCAAAAGGTTGTGAACCAAATGAGCAAGTTAAAGAGGACCAGTTAAAATAGTTCCATCTTCAAGACAAATTGCAATCAGTAACTGTTTCAAACAGAGGGACAGAGGAGGTGAGGTTGTGGGAAAGAACTAGAATCTTTTACTTTAGGTAGTGCATACAGATAAGGAAAAAAGAAATGCTGGGATATGTTTCAGTGGAGAAGATGCAAGTAGACCTTTCAAAACTATTTAGAAGACTGACCTGCTACTAGATATATTTTTATCCTATTCAAAAGAAAAGCTTCTGACCTAAATGCTGTTTGTATTTCACACAACTGTGAACCATACCTGATCCAAACTACCAGTGTTTGGACAATATTTGAAGCTAAAGCATAAGACGTCATGTCAATTCTGGTACTAAAGAAGTGGTTTATTAACAGAAAAAAAAACATAATACTTGGTTTATTGATCATGTATTGCTAGTTTTTAGTATTCTTTGAACCTGATTTAATTAGAGTACAGTGTTGCATCTTACACAGCCATTCAAATCACTCACTTCTATTTCTTTGTCTAGTGACTGACAGACTTCTGTCATCACTAACAAGTTGTCCAGATACAGGGCTAAATGTCAGATGGGGAATGGCTTCTTCCCCATTTTCTTCAATGTGTAAGGAATAAAAATGTGAAAACTTATTAGATTTTTCTTGCATTTTGTAGCAACTTTTATTTAGTTTTACCACCTGCTTTACCTATTGTAAATAAATGCATTTTACGTGAAGCAAGTTTACCTCATAGCTATTTTCACCAAACATTTTAAGTGTTGTAATGCATGGAGAGCAGATATTCACAATTTCATTATGTCATGTCTTTAAACCAGATCTTGCTGTAGTGAGTGTTTTGGAAGCAAGGGTGTGTTGTTTCTATAATGTCACTGAAAATATTTTCTATGCAAAAGCCATGCCCTAGCTAATACTGATATTCACTTACTAAAAGGGAATTAAAAAATATAGCACTCCAGGTTTTATATTGTTTTGCATAAGATGGAATGTGATTAGATACTGTTGATCAACTGCAACATGCAACTCTCAGCTTCATCTAAACAGCATGGAAAAGACTTTGGGCCTAATGTAAATCCATGTGGATTTGTCTTATACAGCTTCTAAGAGACAGTTGTATTACAAGAATAAATAATAGCCTGACACTGCCTAAAAATTGTTATTTCTGTTAATATATTCATTGTAATTTCATTTTGTGCTATGCATTACTTGAAACTTGTCTCTTCATTTTAATTACAGGAAAGAATAAACAATCCAGAAAAAGAGAATGAACTCTTGAACAAAAACTATGATAAGCTGCATAAGGTAAGTTAGGGTTTCTGCATACAGAAAATTGGATTCTGGTCCTTTTTTAATAGGACTTAATATACTGTATGCTGTAATGTGTGTATATACATTTTTGCTCTTGCACACACGTAACTCTGGGCTGCTGTTCATCATATGACTGTATATGGAAACTCTTAGGTGCTCTGCTGTATTTCATTGGCTCTGTTAACAAACTTGACAGCTTAAAACTTTTTTTTTTTTTTACTTAGGAGGTACAACAGTTGTATAATCACAAAATTTAGAGTTTTGTATGGAGGAGTTGGTCACTTGTCTCTCACTTAAGTTAATAGCTGGAGATTTCTCCAAAATTTGATCATGTCATAAATATTTCTGATGATGTTTTTGTTTATTCTCGTTCATTTATTCAGAGAAATAATTCTTCCTAATAAATCAACTTAACAATCTTGTCTTGAAATTTTCTATTCTACTTAAAAACATAATAGGATGACTTAAAAAGATATTTAATGAGAGAAATTGAAAATAAGCTTCCATTATAGCACAGTAATCTATACTATGGTGTTTCTTTCACTAAAATGATCTGTCTTTTCATATACTCTCATTTAAACATTGATTTGTTTTTCATCATTCAATGTTATAGGTATCAATAAATTAGAAACAGAAGGATTATATAGTCACCATTTAATGAACAGCATTTTTGGTTGCCTATTTGAACAATGCAGCTTTACTAGAGCTTACCTGGGCTAGTAGTAGATAGGACAATGTCCACAAATGCTGCTTAATTAATATTTTTTTTTTCAATTCTTAAATGGAGTCAAAGGTCCATAAACCCATTCTTTGCTAAATTTATTTTTGGGAAAATTTATTTGACGTTAATGGGAATTTTGTCAAAGCCAAGACTGCAGAACTGGATCTGAAAAGTTTGCAAAGAACAAGTATGAATTTGTCAGTTGACTCTTATTATTTAATCAGTATCCAAGAAAACAATTCATTTATATGAAAGGTTGGAGGAATTGTTTTCATATGACCTTGTAATGCAAATCTAGCCATACTTAAAGTCCCTCCAAAGGAAATGGTGCCAGATGTGGTTGACCATTATAGTTACACAGATGTCTTCAACTCCAGTGGAATACAGTAAATATGAAAGAAATTCCACATGAATTCGAGTAAATGTAATCTTAAAATTTGAAAGAAGAAAGCAACACACGTGGACCCAATTCAAACTGACATAAACATTAGCATTATATGGGTTTGGATAAAACCTGTCTTGTAAAATGTTTTTCATTTAAACATCTAAATTCTTAACAACCATAATAATAACGTTTAATGATTTTTCTGCCAGCACAGTCTTCTGAAAAACTAAACTTATACCTGGCTGCATCCTTATGTGAAGTAATTGTACCTAAAGCTGATGAACTGACATATAAGTGGGTGTTGTGGTCATTCAAACTTGAAAACATTTTCAGAAGTGTGGAAACTGACAGTATTTCTTTTCTTTTGAAGAGAGTTATGTTTTCCTTATGGAAGTCAATCAAACTCTAAGCAATTAAAGAACACACTGTGTCTTCTGTACCTTTGCAATACTGTGGAGTGGTGGTGGATTCACTGCATTATATTGCCTGCATATTACCTTCAAAATTATAGGAGAGTGGTGCATGACTGCAGGACTTAGAAGCTCTGCTTTAGTTCATGCGTGCTGTGAAAACAGTCACACTTTAAAATGCTCTGTGCCTAGAGAACTGTGTACATAGGTTAGCTATAGTATGAGAAAAAGACAAAATACAGGGATATACAACTTTTTAATGAATAATACATATCAGCAGCATAAACCCTATATACTTTAGAGTTTACAGTTCATGCTATAATATTTTATTTCTTTAATCTTAAAGTCATTCTTCAAATATTTGAGATATAAATGCACTCATAGGTATTCAGAACTCAGTCAGCATGTAGAGTCTGAACCTATGTGGGCTGTCTCTTCTGCAGCATCTCTTCCTCCTCTTTTTTTTTGATCAAGGCTTGTTACACAGATCTCTTGAAGCAATAGGTGGATAAAAAAATAGATAGTAGAAGATTTCTGATACATTGATGTATGTAAAATACAAAGTTTTTTGGCTGAAGAGCTTCACCAAAGACTTGAGGGACTGACTTTTTTTTGTTTACAAAACTCTACAATTACTGATTTTTCATGGAGTACAAAAGTGTTTTGTGCCTGGTGAAGATTGACATTTTTTCAGTAAATAAGAACGCAAATATAGTAATATAAATATAACACTCACTGTCTAATTTATATGAAAACTAAGCTCTGTCTTTTTGCTTACTGAGAATTACACTGTAAATTATATAATGTACTTAATTTAGTTTTAATCTGAGTAACACTTTTTGTTGTGGTTTCAGCAGTTCTAATTCTGTGTCTATGCAATCCTTATTGCACATAGATTGGTAGTTTACAAGTAAATAATGTGTTACAAGCAAAGAAGTTAATTTCTTGGCCTACCTCTGTTTTTTTTTTCTTTAAAGTAGGAGAACGATTACTTTAAATGTGCTTCTTAATCAGTATCAGAATTGTTGTTTTACAGTATGAGAAAACTGTTGTCACTTTGTGGTCAACATTTTTCTTTGAACAGGCAACTGACTTTATGCTCTGCATGTTTCACAGATTTAAAAAAGATCAGGTGGATGATCCCAGTTCTCTACATTAAGAGGTTTTGTATGCGGAAAGAATGGTTTTGTTAGTTGTCAGTCGCTGAGGTTTGGAGTTGTGGATTATTCTGGGATATGCATCTGAATTCCTTTTCTAGTCCCACAAATGTTGCATGCTGCCAACTTTTTGACTTTGGATCTCTAAATTAAGGCCAGTTCCTTTGCTCATCCCACAAACTCTTTCATGTTTTTTAACCGCAGCCTGAGAAAGGCGCCTTGGTTTCAACAGCAGCAGACCAGCATGTGTTTACTTAATTCCTAAGACATGATGACAGTGGTCTCTGTGCCACTAAAAGCTTTTTTCTTTATTATTTTCTGTTGAAGCTGATTTCTAAAAGTTTTTCACATGCCATATGTTTTATTACAGTGTCTTCTGTATGACCCATGAACAGCAATGGAAATCAAAGGAACAGCAAATGAAACTGCAAATTGCTAAACTAGAGATGGCTATCAAATCTGATTTAGCAGACAAAAATGCAATTCTTGACAAGATCAAAGTAGAAAGAGGTATTTTTCTGAAAAAAATCTAATATTTTCTCAAGATGTGAGGTCATACTATGTTAAAGTTCAGGAATATTGTCCAGAAAAGTGTAGTTTCTATTGCTGGTGATTTCAAAGCTGCCTTTTAAGTGAACATTTTTACAATATCCTAAGGTTATGACTAGCTATTAGATACAAAAATTGACCAAATACAGATTATATGCTGAATGAGGCTCATATTTTTTCAGCTGCATTTATTCTTTTTCTCTTGGGTTAATACTTACTCTTTATTAAGTGTTTCTTCTCTCTTTCAATATAGATATTGAAAGCTCTTACAGAAAAGAGGCCCGTTGGACTGTCTCCCTAAAATTACAAGCCACTATTCTATTTACTGTACAAAGTTACATAAAGCCTATACAGGCCCTTGGCCATATTTAATTGTCTTTCAGCTTCCTTAATTCAGAAATGTTTAATATTTTCAGTATACACTGATTTTTATTTCCAGCTGGGTATAGTCTGCTGAAGAGATTATTTCATATGTGGTTTCCCCATGCTGTAGGAGAACTTCTCAGTGAATATTTAAGACACTGCAATCTCTTTCTGTATCTCAAGACTGTGTTATATACTGTAACAATATATAAAATTTACAAAAGAGCACAGACCAGAAGTAACCTAAATATTTTTAGACTTGATTCTTCCATTCTGTAATTTTTAAAAAGTGTATTTCTAAGAACAATCTAATGGAATGGAGTGGACCTACTTGTTGTGACTAATTCTTCTTATGAGTATGGCTTCAGTTCATCATGTGCTTACTATTAAGATTCTGAGTAGCTTTATTGATATCTAATACTAAACTGAACATTTAAACATTTTCTTTGACCACAGCAAACACTTGCAAAATTGGCCTTAAGTGATATTAAAATAAATAAAGATACCTTAAGCTAGATTAATATGAAATTACAACATACTGGCAGTCGTTACTGATAGCTTCATTATATAATGCTAAATTTAAAATTATATTCAGAGCATGAAAATATCATGGGCTGTACTATTATTTGATTAAGCCGAATTTGAAAAATTCGGCAATGCTTGCCATCTTCTATCCTTCTAATAGGCCTAATGTTTAAGTGGCAATCTTTACCTTCCCCACACTGACACTTGATAGCTTCTTGTATTCCTAACTGTATCACCAGGGTACATGTTCAATTGCTATTAGGTTGCTGCAGCTTGCAGCTTGTTCTAATACCCTTCAAGGCCTGTGTATCTAGGAGCTTTTTATCATTGCTGCTGCAAAGGTATTCACAGAATCACAGAATGGTTCAGGTTGGAAGGGATCACAGGGGGATCATCTCACAGAATCATAAACATACTGAGTTGTGAGGCACCCACAAGGGTCATGAAAGTCCAGATTCTGGCCCTTCACATTTTGCTCTTGTTTGGATGGAGTTTGTTTTGCCTTCCCTCTAAAAATTGCCAATACATGGCAGAGGGAAACCATGAATAAATGGAGTGACTTCAGCATATAGCTAAATAGGTATTGTGAACAATTGATTTGACCACTTAAAGAAGAACTGTCAAAGGTTTTGGCAAAAGCAGCGTTTAATGTGAATTTGTGAAAACATGACTTTACTGAGTTTGTTGGAAAGGCTCACTTACTGCACAGATTAAGCATACAAAGGAAGATTAAATTAGAAACAATTTGGAATGATTGATACTAAAGTCAGGAATGCAAAGGGGGTAAAAGTGTGCCAAGATATGGATGCAAAGATAAGGGTGCAAAGAGTTTAGCAGCACTTAATCACTGAGTATTTTAACATTTACCAAGCAATTCCATAGGGTTCACTAAAATTATAACAATGACTTGGCTGTAGGTATAAGATAGTAACATTCATACCATCATCAATTCCCGTACACAGGTAAAATGATGTGTGCACCTATTTCTATGTGTGTACCCATCAACCTATGAGGTTGGGTTCAGTGAATAAATTACATCAAATCCCTTTGTGCTTCTCAGCAAACAGGGTTTAGACCTCAAAGACACTGGGAATGTGTGGGTGGGGGTCGGCCCAGCCTTTGCTGTCTGCCATGGTCCTTCCAGAGTGGCAGATTTGAGGGTGGGTGAGCCCTGGGAGGTGCCCTGTGCAGAGGGAGGTGCTGGCACTGCTGTAGTTCGCCAGGAGAGGACAACAGGGCCTCACTTCTGTAGGGGCTAACACGATTGACTTCACTAAGTCACCACTGAGTTTCCATCCTGGACACAGCCCTGCGATGTAGTATCCATTGATGAGGTGTTATTTTGTGTAATTGAGCTCAAAGGGAGCTAAAGGGAGTAAGATTACCTCAGAATAAGTTATGTACCAAAGATATTTTACCTTCCAGAATGTTTGTACTGTGTTGCAAGGCTGATTTTTTTTTTATATTATATTAGTTTGCTTTTGAAACAGAAAATATTGTATAATTTAGTTGTAAAATTGCTAACTGAATAAGATAATACTGGAGCAGGTTCTTTTGGTTTTGTGTTTTTTTGTTTGTTTTTTTTTTAACTGAGTCTTGTAGAACTGAAAACGCTGAAATATAAATGAATCTGGAAATCTTAGAGGCTGTATATATGTTGACAGGTACCAAGTGATTATAATAGTTATGTTTTCACAAATATTCATCGTTAGAGAATTTCTTTTTACTGTATCCATTATTTGTTACTGCAGTTGACAACTTCTCATTGTTTCCTGTGCTGCATAAGCAATACCATTGTTTAAGGACATAATGAAGATGGGCCGTAACTCTTCAGGTTTTGAACTTTAGTAAGTTTTACTGTTCAAGGGGTGTTATAAAGACTGTGAGTTTATCCTTTTATGTAGCATATGGGACAGGAGGTCAAACAAGAAAAGCTAGCAGATGATAAGGTGGAGATGGCTGAGGAAATTTAACAGGAGACAGAAAAGCTCTCACTTCTGTCAGAGGAGCAGTTAGCTGACCAAACATCAATTGCTTCTGGAAATGAGAGAGAAATAACTGAAGAATTGGAACCAGAAGGTAGAATTTGTCTTTATGAATAAGTAACTGTATTTTGTTAATAAATCTATGTCTCTTTCCATTTTCTTAAGCATTTCTTACAAGCAGTGGGAGCTGCCTCATTATGAGAAGCTCCATGACAGAAATTATATTCTGGTGTACTCTATAGCTGAAGCTGGGAAGTGGATATGGTGGTGCTACTTTCTTCCCAAATGGAAACTGTATCGTAATTGAATGCAAAAATCAGGTATCTGACCTAGATTCATAAAATATTAAAGGAAACCTGGCTTCTATTTTAAATGTCTTTATATTTTCTCTTAGAACTATGCTGTTCTAAAGACTATTTTAATTAATATGCTCCTTTTTTTCTGCAGATAACAGCCAATGCTGCTATTGGAAATCCTTTCAGACAGAGAGTGGGGTAGTATGTCTTATCATATTTGTGACTTAAAGTTGTTAGAGGCAGATTTATTTAAAGATTCTAAAAGGCAGGTCATCCTGTTCCACCTCTGAGCTTAAACTGTTCATCATTGAAATAAACCAAGTCACGATACCAAGTTTACAGTAAAAGCACAAACAGAATGCTAAAATTTCATGTTCATTTTTTTGTGCTTCTGCATAAGAATGCATTAGAAAAATTGGAAAAACACGATGTTGAATCCCTGTTGTGTTTATAAGTAATTTGCTTCAGAGAATAAAAACTGAACATGCATTGAAATAATTCATCTGCGTACAGAACTATTTTTTTATTTTTAAAAAATGATAAATTATTCTTTATGTGTTCATGGTGTTAAACATAATCAGAGGAAATCCACAAATTCAGGCCATATTCCTCTATAAAGCTAACAGTTGTTTCTACCTCAATTCATCACTGGACTTATATCATTCCAGTCCTCAACTTTCATCTGGCAAACACTACTTTTTTATTTTTACAAATCAGAAAAAAAATACAGTTTAGATGAATATAAAGATCATTGATTTGCAGGATTAATCATCTGCAAGGAAGAGATGATTTGCCTGGCACTTATTCTTCATTTTTTAGTAAAGCACCTATATTGCTATCAGGTTCCTCAGCAAAACTCAGATGGACTACAGTAAAGGGGTTTAACCACCTTGATTCTTCCAGTGTTTTTCAGATCAAGGTGCTCTTGAAGCAATAAAATCTGACAGAAATTACTATATTATTTCAATTCCATTATCCAGTAATATTAAACAGCTGAGTCATTGCTCATGGCAATTATTTGGCCAGACTTTAAAAAAGCCTTTATAAAACCTAAAAGTTTTTTTAGGTTTAAAAAAGATTTTAAACCTAATGCTGTCTAAGAGTAGCTTTGCTGTATCTAACATAAATTTTCAGTAAAGTTATATATGTACAGTATCAGATCGCTTCAGTATACTTCTTTTTCTAATATTATTTGTGGGCAAGTGCACTAACCATTTTCTCTTGACTTATTCTTAAAACCAGAAATTAATTACCACAAAGACATATATAAAAAAATAAGATTACATTTATACAAATTTGGAAAATTTTCTTTGAATGGTATTTCAGTAGGATAGTTCTGAAAAAAAAAAAAACAAAACAAGAATATTTCATACTTTTTGATCTAACTTTGACTGAACAATGTTAAAAAATATAAAACTAGTATGTAAAATTGATGACTTCTAGTACTTCTAAAAGTTAATACTTCTCTGATCTGTTTTAGCCTTCTTTTAAAGGACCAGGGCTGTACTGTTAGATCCTATCAGACTTCATGGTTTTTAATGTTCTGCAGTGTGATATCCTAGAGGTAGCTTGATTTTTTTTTAAATGCTCTTTTCAAGGCTGTAAGACATCCTACAAAGCAACTAGCAGCAAGAAGCAATTCTTTGTGTGAGAAATATAGCTGTTCATTTTCTTAAGATATAGAAGAGGTTTCTTCAGAAAGATGCAGAAGGTACTTTTGAAGATGGAATTGCATTGTTTATATGTATAATGTTAAAAAAAATTGTCACCTGTAATTTTGAGAACTAAAATCAGTGCTGCTCATCTCTATTAAGTAAAAACACGGTGCACTTGTTCTATAATTTTCTAGTCATGTATTTTATTTTATCACAATTATTTAAGAGCACTTCTGCAAGAACTTTGTGTTTAGATTCATTTCAGGTTCATCAATTCCTCAATTTCTACCTTTCTCCATTGATCTGTTCTTGTGGTAACAAAAATGCATGTTCATGAAGGGTAGATGAAACAGTAAAACCTCTGAACTTCTAAGAGAGCAAGTGTATTTGATACAGATTGGATTTTAAAAATATGCATTCATTGATACAAATTCTTGGGTTAATTAAAGAATACAGCATGTCAAAATTGTTACTGAATTTGTATTTTTTAAGATTAAAAATCGCAGCCTTTTATCTTTTGAGATAAATATCCTGCTGGTAATCAAACACTGTAAATAAAACTTGTGATTCTTGGAGATTGTTATGCTAGTTATCCCCTAAATCTGAGTTGTATGCCAAACTGTTTAAGCCATTTAAGATCATACTGAGGTTTTTTTGCATGTTGCAAATTAGACAGTTCATGGTTATTTCTTAGATATGTTGATCACAAAGGGTATCTAACAGATTTTCCAGTACTTAACTGTACCACTTGCTTCTTTCTCTTTTCTTCTTGTCTATGATGTATGATTAATCATAGATTACTTCATTTTGTTTCATTTCATTTACAACATTTATGAGCTTCACTTTGTCGGTATGAAATGCTTGTCCCCTTCTTTCCTTTCCAAAGTGGCATAATTAGTGTTAGCATCTTTTTTAACAGGCTACATAAAGTTTAGTGGCTGGATTAAATCAAGTCATTAACATAATGTGCTATACAATTTGCCCCTATCTCTTTTCGTTTCCAGTACATCAAAGTGCCACAGAGTGCCAGTGTAATTGGGCCTTGCTAGCTTGTCAGGTTCAGTCAGGCTGATGGCTGCTGCTTTTACTAAAAAGCTTCCAGGCATGATAATTAATAGAGAAAAGAAGTCTGAGAAATGTAAAAGTTTGGACAGTTGTCTATGAATATTTCATACATTTGAATAATCAGAAGTTAACATTATCAATTTGATGTATAATACATTGATTAAAAGCCTTGTTTCAGATCCTCAAAATAGACATCAAAACTAGGAATTTGCATTTTCTTTGGCATGGTCTTTATATTAAAAAAAAAAAAAATTAAAAAATTCTTTCCTCTTCCATCCCCTCCTCCTTTGCTCTCCTATCTACACAAAATCCTTACACGAAATTATATAACATTCAGTTTTCACAATAAAATTTACTGCTGTCAGCTTCCAAGTTATCTTAAAATGTGCCACGAGACAATTACTGGCAAACCCAATTTGTTTGGTAGTGGTTCTGTTTTTTTCTATCTTTTTATCTTGCAGATACCATAAGTGCATTCTCTTGCTCTAATAGCAGTTTACTGATAGCAGCCATTACCTGTATCTGTAAGTTAAGAGCTCAAGTTGTAACTAATTTTGACAGGAAAATCTTTCTTAAACAGCAAAAAAAGAACAATGTCAAGGGCTCATGGTTCTCCTGGTGAAGGGCTAAGGTGAGAAGTTTTAAAGCTTCAAGTTTATGTATAGCAAAGCAATAAAAACTATTCCTTTTATTATGGGGTTTTTTTTGGTGCAGTTACTTGAACAGTGTATTTCCACCTATGTGCCAGCTGTATTCGTTAAAAAAAAAAGGAAATTATTTGGATATTTCATTGCAGCTTTAAATTTTGGCTGATATGATTCCTCTTTGCACTTATTTTCTGCAGGACTTGAATGTGTTTGGTATACTTCAGGGAGATTTTTGAGTGTTCAGAGTTTTTTCCCTCAACATGGCTTGTTTTATGAATACCTAATCTGAAATTAGAGAATTAAATTTCAGGGTTTTAGTATTACCCTGTGTTACTGAGTTACTGTGTTACTCCATTCTGCTGTGCCAGAAATACTAATCCTTTGTATTCTCCTACTCCTACTCCTAACTTCTGTTGCTTTGTGTTTTTCTTCTTTAAGAAACTGGGGAAGTAAAAGTGCTGCACCAGCATATTTAATAAAACAAGAAATAAAATCTATTAAACAGACCATCTTATCAGAGTATGATAACAGTAACTTGTTAAACTTGGTAGTCAGTACTTTCAAAGTCTGCTGAATGGTCTAAGATTAAAAAGAACCATTTGCCATTCTCCATCTTTGAGGTGGTTGTTTGCTGGGGCGTCACTATAATCCAGAAACTAAAGTAAAAGAAAGTTTAAAGTATCCAGGAAATACCTAAGCTGTGTTTTGCAACTGATAAAGTGCGAGATGACAGAAGTTTGAGTAGACACTATTCTGAAATGATGGACTTACAACTTCCATCTACCCCTTGTCAAGTACACTTTGAAGTTGTAATTGAAAGCATGTACTGCTAGTCATTCTTTGTGATAGGAGAAATGAAAGAAGAAGGAGAAATAATACCAAATAACACCAAACAGCAGCTTTTAAAATGATTGAAAACTACAGATTCTTAAGTCATTGCCCATTATTTTTTAGGTAACAAATAAAACTAATTAGTCAGAATATGAAATTAAATAGAAGGCCAGATTTAAGGCTGAACCTGTAAGCCCACAGGAAAAGCATCAGCAGGAGTCACTCAACCTAGGTGGTTTTTTTTTTTTGTTTTTTTTTTGAGGTTATGACTACAAATGCTCCTTAGTTGCTTACTGGAGAGACTATTTTTCAGAGCTTATGGGCATAGGAGTAAGTTATGGTGACTTTGCAAGTAGAATGTATTGTTCTAACTGGAGGTCTAAAAGGCAAAGAATGGAATTTTAAACTGAGTTTTAGTTGGATTAGTTGTGATAAATATCACCAAGCATCATTTTTTCACATTATGCATATTATGAGAATCAAGTTCTATTAATCTTTGAAGGTCTGTATTGTTCTCACACAATTCTGTAATGACAAGGGGAGGATACAGTATCAAAAACTAAGTATTAAAACTTTAATGTAAACCCAGCCACATTAAAAATGTGCAATTTGATGCAGTTTTTCACTACAGATGCACTCCTAGCAAATGAAGATGCTATACTGACAATTCTGCTTTCTTCCCATACTAAGAGGTACTTTTTTTCTAAATGGATGAACTGTCAAATACAGATCTTTGAAATTTAATTTTTTTTTTTAATCAAGATAGAAGTCTGCGATCTACATGTAGAAAAATACATGCATAGCTGTATATACAAAGGCAGAAATCCCATTATATTTGTATTGGACTAGATTATTCCATAATACTGCTACTTATTTAATCTTATTTCTGTAACTTCAGTGTACCAAAAATGTACAGGTATTTTTTTCCTCAATTTTCTGCCTTTCATGCTTTTTTAACTTAAGAATTATGCTTCTTTTTGAAATGAAAGGTAGTTGTAAGTTTACACAACCTTTGAATTTCTTAATTATGTGACTGGCTGGTATCTGTGTAGCTAATTGGCTTTGAGATTTGTTAGAGTTGGTGTTTGGTTTTGATTTTCCCTGATGGATCAATAAAAGATTAGTGATTAAAAATTTAAAAAGTGAAGTTTTCTCTTTGAGACAGTCTGCAGGAGTAGGTGTACCTTCATTTGGGATAGCAACAATATTGCTTATGAATTTTTCCCAGCTTCCTGGGGAGAAAATAAATTTAGAATTATGCAAGTTTGTATCTCACCAATCAAACAGGTTCAGTTATATTTATATATTTATATATTTATATATTTATATATTTATAAATTTATATATTTATATATTTATATATTTATATATTTTTGCATTTGTTCATCCCTTCAAACAGTTTATCTTTAAAATCTGTTCATTGTGTCTGTGCCATGGGTAAGGTGCAAAACCAAATCTTTAAAACCAATTCCACTCTTGAGAAGAATCATTGAACAATTTTATGGTTTTTCTTCAGAAAGGGTGTAAGGCAAGCTGAAGGGAAAGCAAGCACTATGCAAGTGATCAAAAGTTCTATTATGAGCAAAGTGCAAATATGGCTTCATGATCAGATATGTAGTTGTCATGGTTGTGGTGGGAAAGCACACTTCCCTCAAGAACCTTCTATTTTCTAAAATGTTTGGTGCTCTATGCCTAAATAGAAATTGTCATGTTGGAAAGAAAAAGAGTGCATGGCTGGTACATGACAGATTTACATAGAGAGTCAGTACCTAATCACTGAATTGGCTCAAGTTGTAGCAAGTAGTTAATGCATTTGAAGATCTTAAATATGAATTTATGGTGGTCTGAAAAATGATGAATCTGCACTAGATAGAAAGACAGCAATGAGAGTTCCCTTCATTGTCACAGACAGATCATTTTGTTCAGTATGTTAATTCTAGCAAGGGCTGAAGGGTTGCATCAAACCTTGTCATGGTGCTGATCTCGGGTCATTACATTCTCCTGGCACGTGGCAAAGCAGTGATGCTGGAGGAGATTGTATGTGCCTTTCCCCCTTCAGCAGGGATCCAGCTCCACAAGGGCTGTTCTGCAAGGAGAGATCTCTGCCCCAGGACCTGGGGACAGTCTAAGGTGTATGCACTTCATTGAAGTCCCATTCACATGGAGAAGGAACAGGGAGTGTTTCTGTATCCCTCTTCCTGTTCTCACAGCTACACCAGTGTGGGGGAAAGGTAAAAACAGAAGATGTTATTCCTCACATGAAAAGTCACTGCATACAGCATTAGAATAATTTTTTTTGCAATATGTATTTTTATGTGTATATGATTCTGTGTTGCCCTGTTAATCATAATTACTTAATGAGTTATGTTTGTGTCTCTGTACACTTGAAATACATTGATGTTCCTGTAATAGCATTCTTTCTGGCTCTGTTCTGACATTGTTAATAAGATGATCACAGGAATTCAGCACTTAACAGAGGAAGGGGATTCTCATTCAGTAATATATTTGTTAATCAATATTCATAGTGATTGAAATATTAATAGCAAATGGATGATTACTTTTGATTATTGGAGAATAGCTTATAGTTTATCTTACATGCTCTTTGCTTGAAATAGAAATGAATAAGTGGACTCTGAAGATAAATATATAAAATGGTAAGGAGTAAAGCATGGGTTTTTTTGAGCATTAATAGATATAGAATTCAAGTTAATCTTACAGTTTAGAAGTTCCCTTTATTTTGAGTTTTTCAAAGCAATATATTAGTTAAAACTGTGGATGTAAAAAATAGGAATATTGGTCCTATAAGCAAGGTATTTTCAACTCAGCTGTTCTGTGCAGAAAGCATGAACTTATTTTTTAAAGCACTTCTGTGGGATACTGTTGTTGAGCATTTGAGGCAGTTGGAATTCTATTTTTCATATCAAAGTGTTAGCCTTTTTTTGTAACCAAAAAGGAAATCAAAATACAGAATATACAGCTGCTTGAAGATGACAGTCAAGACAAATTACAGAATTCAACCACGGGGTTTTAATCTCAGAAATCAGAAAGGTGAGAAAATTTGAGATATCAAATTTGGATGTAATGTCCAATGCATTTAGTACTTACCCTAATCCTAAAGCTTTTTGAAGGAGTTGAGTGATTCTTCCAAATATTTGGGTAGCATTAATTACAAAGAGTCAGTATTAAATGGTAGAGAAACCATTTTGACATAGACTAAGTATATTACCCATGTTTTGTTTTCCTCACCTGAAATGAAAGCACTGAACCAATTTATCTGAGACATTTTTGAAAGCGTTTAATATTCTTCAATATCTGCCCATTCTTTGTGTTAGGTGAAATTTTGTATTATATTTTGTTTTAAATACTAAATGTAAAGACTGATTTTACTCCCATTAAATAGAATTATTTTTGGGCAGTAGTTGGCAAACTATCCATTGTTCACTTGAACAGTACCTAATAAATGAGAAAAGGCTTTAAAAAAACCAGCATAGGAATAGATTTAAATAACATATTTCACTCTGCATCATAGAAATATAAATGGTTGTTTAAAAATGAATTCATATCATATACTGGATGCTACAATATTTTCAGCATGGCTACATAATGTGAGTGGTTTTGTATTAATGATGAAATATGACATGAGCTAAAACTGTTCTTAAGCAGTTCTATATTTTTTATTTGTAAATATCTTTTTTAATCAGCTTATGTTCTGCTTTGTATATGTTGTATTCATATCTAATATCAATAAAACTGGGACTCAAAATAGTCTTGACTGTTAAGCTCCAAAATAATTTGTTATTTTTTTCCTTATAATTTTCTAATAGTATAGCTCAGTCATTTTCTTCATTTTAAGCAAAAAAGCAGAATACCTGAATTTACCACTAGCCTTGAAAAACTGTAATATTCTTTGCCTACTGTATGCAATTACAAGTGTTAAATATGTCAAACAAATTTTAAGATATGTAAAGGAACACTTTATAATACAGAATATTGTATTTGGACTTGATTCATAAGCTACTGTCTGTGTACAAACTAGTCTGACGCAGCTGCTAAATACTTTGGGGTGAACAAAACCACTCAGCATATCCCTTTAAATACAGATGCTAATACATTTGTTCAGTGCAAGAAGAAAAGAGTTGTTTCTGAAGTAAAATTAGACAATAGAGCCAATTTCATTTTTTATGCATGTGAATGTAGAGTGCTTGAGGTTATTAGTTGAAACTGAGTAACCTTTCCAGGCTTTCATCTCTTTCTTTTCAAATTTGAATATGAAAAGCATATTCAAGTCAGAGACCATCACTTTAATGACATTTGGCAGTCATTTGATTTATTAGATTTTAGAAAAAAAAAATTCCTTTTAAATATTTCATCATTCTATGCTAATCCCAGTAATATTGCCAGCTGAAGCCATGTACCTGTATTAGTGGAGACAGAATGGTGTGGAATTTTTTCTGTCATCCTAGTAAAATTTCCATGAATCTACTGAATAATAAAACAACCTTATTGAAATATTCAGATTTGGGTTTTTAGCTAAAGTGTCTTAGGATACATAATAAAAGGAAATGTCTTTTGAAAGGAGGGGGTAAAATTACTTCATCAAATATTGAAAGGACTTGACAGCAATGGAAATTGTTCTATATGATGGATATTTTTACAATAGGATACACCTGCTTTTCAGTTTGATTAATCATATAATTTACCTGGGGAAATGTAAGCTATCTCCATAATAAATTAGAGTACTGACTTGCAGTTTGAACACTGAATCTAGAAAGCCAGTCTTCTGCATCTGATTAATACTTCATGTGATTTAAGTTTAAAATCAAAAATTGTCAAAATATTTCGACATAGGGGAAATATTTTTAATAAAGATATGAACTTGAAAGAAATGAAAGAAGTAATAAGATTTTTTTTTTTGACATTTCTCTACTCCAACATGTTGTGTTTGCTCTTTGAAGAAAGTTGTCTTTGAATGCTTACCTACATACTCCACTTTGGAAACCACAGTGGCTTTTCTTTCTTCAAATTACCTAGGGAAGTACTTGTGACTTTCTGTTGAGTCTGACATTCACACTTAAATATAGAAACCTTATTACAATGTATCTGTACACAATACCATAGACCTTGCTGAGTAGTGTGAGACAATTTTGCAAGGAAAGGAAAAATGTAATTTTACTTAAAAAATAATAAGAAAAGGTCTGATCAAGCACAATAGTGTTTAATTTTTTGACATTATTAATATGAACTCTTAAAGGTATGTTTGATTTAACTAGTCAAGTTCAGTATATGAAGTTTAATTCCATATAAATGCAATATATATGCCTAACAACTTTGTGACTTGGTGGATTTTTATTGAATGGGGTATAGTCTACAGGAGGCACTAACTATTCTCTTCCCTTTGAAAAACTTTGGTACCTAATAATACTGCTAGTGTTTCCAGCAGTTACAGGATCACTTTGCTGTGTGGCTAAAAAGTAATGGCAACTGAAATTAGTGGTTCAGATAGCATTATTACCTAAAGATAATCTTAACTTAATCTTCTCCAGTAGACTTTGACTATTGACAAAATATTTTAAGTATCAAGTGTCAATCAGTATCTGTTGCAACAATATTCTTAACTGCAAACCAAGGGGTTTAGATTCTTCCTGTGTCCATGCCAAAGCAATCCATCAGTGTTAGTTCTACAAACTACCCAATGGTTCACATGCATGTTAGGTTTGTGTTAACACTTGGAGAAACACAAAGTGATTGTTTTGGTTTTTGTTTTATTTTTAAATAGGAAGTTGAACAATGTGGATTAAAGTTACATCACTTGGTTTTATGAAGTCATGAATTACATCAAATGAAACAATACAGCAGCTGAGTGTAGAATACAAATGAAACAATTTCCCTGCAGAGGACACTGCACTGCCACTTCCAAACCCAACAGGTGGTCAGAGGAGTGACTGTAACTACAGAACTGGTGAGTGGCGCCTATTCCTGAGCAGGTGTGTTCCTTCCCTAAAATTCTTATGAAAATGCCTCCAACAAAGCCTATTTCCTATACATTATGTATACATTTATCTCTGTACTGTTGTATTTGTCATTCTTCCAGCTCTTTTGGGAAATACCAATGATGATTTTTAAGAACTGAGATCAGGATGCAATTATTAAGTCTAAACTAAAATACAAAAGTAGGCTTGTGTAAGAAATTGAAACTGCAATATATTTAAATATGCTGGTAGTGCATACATTTTAAAATTAGGCTTTACATAACTATGTCTTTTTTTTGAAAGAGCACAATTAACTAATTTTTCTCCTATTGATACATGATACAGCAAAAGGAAAACATTCTGTGCAACCATGTACAACTGAAATACATTTAGAGAAAATATGTCATGGACTTGATCATTGCTTGTGAATACTCAGTGTACCTTTAACAATAATTTTTTTAAATGGGAAATCACCTGTATTTAATACTAATAAATTGCTATTCAGAATACTGAATCCTGTATGTTGCATATGCTAGACTCTAATAAATGAACATCTGAAAGCAGTCAGTCTCAATCCACCATTGTGACTCCAAGGACATTGATCTTTGAAAGGCCTTGGGAAAGAAAAAGAAACCCATGAAGAAAACAGTTCTGTGAAGTCCTGAGTTCACTGAGGCTTCCTTTCATTCAGACAAACAGGATTTCTGGCATCATGTGCTAAGTAAAACATTGCATAAAGGAGAACTCTTTTTATAAGCTGGACAATTTCATCTTGTTAGCTTCTGTAGGCACAGATGCTCTAGTTAGGCAGACATAAATGGAATTTCTTTTTCAAAACCTGTTGAAATAATGCCATAACCCAATAAAAGCTTCTTAAGGCTTTTCATTGCTCTTGCTTTTTGAATTCTCATTGCTTTGAATATAACAAACATTCAGAAGTTAAAAAAGTCTTACACACTATTCTGATTCCTGGGTATATTAGTTATGGTGTAAGTATAGTTGTATTTTAAGTATTTACTCTGCAAAGTTTAACTAAAAATGCAGGAAATATATGATGAATACAGAATAAAATTTCAGAGTTTTAAGGCAACTATGAAACTTCAATACATTTCAAGCTGTGATATTTGAAAAAAGGATCATGCTTTGGAGAGACTGTAGTGCATAAGGGTTTCTATTGTAGTACTGCTGTATTTTATTATTTATGTTAATCATAACTGGGCTGTGCAACTTAGATTTTTCTATTTACTGCTTTGGTATAGATTATAAAACTGTTTGAACTTCAAAATATTCCAACAAATCAATATTAAAAGGTGGGTTTTGGTCTTAATTGCTTCAGGACTGTATTCTGCAGCATTACACTAATGTGGTTGTTATTTGTAGAGGTTTGCTTAGATAATTGGGTGTCTAATTTCTACTCAAGATTAGCTTTGCATATAGGGTGAAAAACCTAATGAGTCTGGTTTTTGATAATACCAGTTGAGAAGCCAGTAAGATAATAGTAATGAAATCTGCATGTGTGTTTACTATAGCTTTGCTGCATCTCTTATTCATGTCTAATTAGATTTGAGTATGCTGAATATTTGAGGTTAATTGAATATTTTCTTTAATAAAAACGAGATTTGCATGGGTAGAAAGAAATTTACTTTGAGCTTAGAAGGAAACTAATAGTCTTTTAGACTTTTGCATGGAGAAAATCAAAGTCCATAAGTAATCTAAAAAATCACTAATTCTTATAATAAATAAAGCATTTTATATTATCTATAACTGGAACAGATTGACTGTTTTAAAAACATCTTAACCATTACAGAAGGCTTCATGAGATTCATTGCTTTAAAAAATTTGAATTTTTTCCCATACCTTTCCCATTCCTCACTGTCACTGTTTGGCATGTGAGATAGAGAAAATTAACAGAAGCTTGTTGAAAAACAGTATAGTAGAGTTCCAGTAATCTGGACATAGAAGATCCCATGAGTTTACATTTTCACAGGTGATTCAAGCATGTAACTTGGCATTAATTGGCTTTTTTCAACTATGAAACTATGACTTTTTCACTGAGAATGGTTAGAAGATAATTTTCTCTCCTCCAGAGTCTTGGAACAGAAACATGGATGGGGAAGTTCAGACAGGAAGTTTAGACAGTTTAGGATGGTGGTGCAAACCTCTTGATTGCCCATGACATTGTGTGGTACCTCGTGATGACCACAGTGACTGAGAGCAGCTGTTGTGTTTGGTACCACTGAAAAGAGCTATGAGAATATCCAAACACTACAGTCCCATACATTCAAAGAACAGTGAAACTTGCCAAATTATTCAGTGGTTCTGGAGAACAGACAGCAGAAATAGAAGAAAGTCGTATGAAAGCTGGCAAAGGTTTTAGATGAAATTTAATTGGGAAGCTTTCTTTTCTCAAAAACTTTTCTCTCTGAGGTGAACATGTGACTAATTGAACAACATGAAGTACAATTGGAAGTAGAAAGGAGAGGTGTGGGAAAGATGGGATGTACTTTTTATTAGAAATAAACTTCTGAAGATCCCTATTCTAAAAGGGGATTCCTCAAATGTTAAGGCTTTGCATCAGGAAACATTGTTATAATTCTGTGTGTTTATTCCTTTTCTACAATAAGCTCAAGACTGTGGAGCATTTTTTTCTTCACTTGATGAAAATCTGCTTCATCACGTAGTTGTTCAGTTGTGTTAGAATGTGACCTAGGAAAAGCTAAGCTATAGCAGAACAGCAATATTTTGAATTACAGAGATTTCTAACAATGTTCCAAGGTCTTTGTAATCTTCAGCTTTTAGTACTTTTTTAGGACTAACTTTAAAATTATAATTTTAGAGGCAAACTGTCACAAGTTAATTTTGAATTATTCTTGCAATTAATTGGATAGAAAGAAATGTGAGATGTTCCATGCCTTGCAGCAATGTTAATGCTGCTAAGTTCAGGCAGTACTAAGGGGTGCTATGAAAGCCTGTTATTCATCAGGATCTAAAAATATACTTTCACTCTGGTTAATCATTTTCTCAGACTTGAATGAAGTTGTGCTGAATGTATTACTTACTAATCTGAATTTTTCCATTGAGTGAAATGAATTTGAACTCTTTAGGTTTGTTAATAATCTGCATTTAAAATTGTTTTAGGTACAATATTAGTAAACTTAGGAAATTCCTTTTGGGATTCTTATGGGAAAGGGAAGGATCTGTTGATGTGGCATTTCCTTTGAAGTTCTCTGGCTGTCCATCTGTCTCCCTGCTGCCTCCCCATCACTTCCTGTGGTGGCCTTAGGAGCACTTGGCCATGAGAGCAGCATATGTGGAAAGTCATCCACATGTCCAAAAGAACAGATGACAATAACAGCTTCTTATAACCTAAGAAAGTAAGAAATTGAGAGTGGAAACCAAGGCTTCAAAGAAAGAATGCCAGTGCTTTGCTTTCTGTTAGTAGAGAAAAAGGTGGCAAATTGCAGATTCCTTTGATTGAATGACTTAGCAACTCAGCCACTGGAGTGGCTGTTGGTGCTGGTAACCCCTTCCAGCACTTCTGCTGCCCATGGACGAACTGGGAACGGCTCTGGGGACACTGAAAAATCAACAGCTCTGGGAAATGGGTTCCTAGGACTGAGAGAGCTGTGTTCTTCAATAAATCCCTCTACAAGGAATTTAAAATAATTTCTTATGTCCTCATATTGCTGTATGCCAATACTCTCACCCCATAGCAGAGTTGATACTTTCTCTTTTATACAAATAAGGTTATTTTGGGTAGCAAAAGACAGAATGAGATATGTTAAAGATTTCTGTCTGCAGAGGGGAAGAGGAAATCTTACTGTAAGGTGGAGAGTCAAAAAACTTGTGAGTACAGTGGCAGAGTAACTATAAAAAAAGTGAATATTAAAATGTCGGATTTATTGACAGAATAATTTGTAGCTCCATCTTCTCCCCTCAAAAGCAGATGAAAACTCTTCTGAAGAGCTATGTTTGATTCTTAGGGGCCTATATTCATTCTAGTTCTGTCCTAGCAAAACCTTTTCGATTTAATTTCTTTATTTAATATTTTTAAATTCCTGTAACACCTTTTCAGTCTTTATAATTTTTCACAGTAGTTTGCTGATATTTGCAGACTGATACCATTTGCAGGCAAGCAGCTACTTTCTCTAATAATAAGATGCCCAAAAACTTCTTAAAGAATTTCTTAAAACCCTGCTTCTCATTCTTCTATTATGTTTTCCAAACCAAGGCTAACTTTCACTCTAGGTCATATTAATAGTACAAAAATTAAAAGCTGATCCTTGTGTTTGTATTTTAAATTAAAACAACGAAAAGCTTTCAGAGCACTCACTCACACTCCCCAGGCTGTGGATTTTCTCCAGTCCATTGGTCTAGAGGTTTCTCTTATTGAAATATTGTGGCAGGAAAGGAGGATTAAATTACTGAGGCTGTCAAAAAGGACAAGCACTCTGCCATACATTATCATTATCACTGGCTTCCTCAGTGGAAGAAAATGCAGTAAATCACTTCAAATACAAAGCAATAAAGACCACTGGCTTTTAAAATCATGAGTGCTATTGCCATTAACAGAAAGTGACAGCTATGTGGCATGCTTAGATGCTGCTTGTATCTTTTTTGACAGTGTGCACATAAACCTGCCAGTGACACACCATTAGATCACATGACCTTTCAAATTTGATTCTAGCATTGTTGCTTTTCCTTAGAAAAAAAGAAAGAAATGTTTATTTTTCTTTGTTCTTTTCCTCATGCTCTTCTAAAAGGTGAAAAACATTTGATACTAATAGTAATTCTGATTTGCTTTGCAGTGATAAATGTGGTTAAGGCAGATAATTGTGCAGAAAGAGGTCTCAGGTCTGCTCTAAAGCCAGATCTGCACATTGGCAGGTACATGTTAGTGCTGGAAAACTCTGTTGTAGGTCTTAGTAAATAATGCTTGTGGTTCACCTCGTGGTTTGTCTCTTTTGAGGAGGCTGGACCGAGGAGTTAATACCTAACTAACTAACTAACTAGAAAAAATTTTGTTTCGCCTAGGAATGATAGCTGCATTCTGATGGGACAGTTGCTCTTATTTCTTTCTAGTGTAGGTTCATGTGGCATGGAGTACTGCAACCTCACATAATGCTGGTTTAGTGCTGTGGGTTGGGGTTTGGTTTGGGAGTTTGGTTGGTTGGTTGGTTGGTTGGTTTTTAACAAATTGTTCCACAAAAGAGAGAATCTATCACCAGTATTCTATCACTAATGAATCTGAAAAGCACATATCTGCCCAGTGTAGTGTAGTACATTTTTTGCTTTCTGAATTCAGAATACTGCTAAGAGTCTAAGAGCTGAAGAAAGTGTTCCTTGGCCCTAGAATTTCCAGAAATAAATAGGTAGATAGATAGGCAGCTATTATGTGAATACATATGAGAAAGAATATAAGTTATTCTTGTCCAATTTCATAATAATAATAAATTTGTTCTCATTCATTTTTTTTTGATTGTGATAGTATGTACATTACTTATACAGAATGAATGACATAGTTTGATTACATTTTCTCTTGAATGTCAATCGTTAAAATGGAATAATTGCTAATTTAAAGATTCATTTGATTTGTGTAAGAATAGGAAACCTGCTGATTGTATTTGATGTGTTGTAGTTACTTGTAAATCTTTTAAATATGTATTTATTCACAAATCACCAATTCTCTCCACAATAAGGAGGAGTGATCTCTCTTAATTTCATTTCTAGATCTGAGTTTCATGTCTTGGCCAGAAAACAGGTTTTACTGGAATGGAGCAGGGAACATCATGAAATGATTACTTGTCAGGATGGAAATATCATACCAAAACAATTCTTAGGTTTGGAGATTTAAAAAAAAAAAAAAAATACTTAATAAGCAAGCAGATAACAAATTCTACCATACAGAATAGGAAAGTGGATAATGGTCTACTAAAATTTGACAATACTGAGGATAAAATACTCTTTTTTTTTTCATTTTTTTCCCCCGTAAGTGATAAATTAAGCAAAGGGAAATAGCCAGTCAGTGTGCTGTGATTTCTCCTCTAAACAGTTGGATATTTTTAATAATTATTTTACAAGCCTAAGGTGAAAGTAAGGTAAGATTACAGCAGTGAGCTTTTTCTCTGAACAGAAGCATTCATCTTCTACATGTTGCTGCCATGGTACTGCCTCTGTGTTTGTAGGTGGGTTGTTTTCTACAGTCACTGATGTGTCTGGTTTGGCCCATGGTGAAATTTCAGTCCTGCTTTGACCAAATAGGAAGACAGGAAGTTCATCAGTAGTCCAGTTCTCCACTTGATCCTAGCAAGAGGACCACCAAGAAAGAAAATTTATGGAAAGATTGTGCCATACACCAAAAGTTTCCAACTCTGTGCATTTTAAACCAGGCCTAGTTAGATCTTCAACACATGTTTTCTATCACAAGCCTGACAAACCAGTATCAGAGCTTTTTCAGCTGAAACAGGAACTGAACTAAACTAATGCTTTAAAGCTCAGGAAACCAAATTATCAAGGATATAAATATCATTGAAAATTGCCTGCAGATGGTTTAGCCTGACACTTTATTGGTGTTTGTGCTAGGCAAAATTACAGCAGCATAGGCAGTGTATTATGTCTATTAAGTAGTGTATTAATTTATTTTTTTTCCTGTCACAATGAATGTTGCTGGAAATGATACTCACAATGATTGGATCCATATTGGAACATAAATAAATGGGTAAATCTCATGGGGTTTTTTGTCTTCTAAAAGAAGAACCACTTGAATGAATAGCTCTTAAAAAAGATATACTATTGTAATATATAAAATTATTGCTAAGTCAAATTTGCAACTATAGGCTAATTCTGTAGTTGAAACTGAACCCGCTTGACCCTGAAAATAATGCATTTTGCAGCTTTATACCTTTTTAGTTTATGCTTACAAATAAATGTTAGTTGGTGTGGAATTTATATGGAAAATACATATTTTTTAGAGTTCTGTTTAGGTTGGAGAAGAACTTTCAGGTCATCGAGTTCAACTGTTAACCCAGCAATGCACTAATATCTCCAGGGATAATAACTCCACCAGTTCCCTGAACAGCCTGTTCTAGGGCTTGACAACTCTTTCAGTGAATAATTTTTTCTTAATATACAGTCTAAAATTTATTTGGAGTGGAATTCACTGTTCAGGCATATAAGATTTCAAAATAATGATTGTTCTCTCCTTTCAATTTCATTTATTAATATGGAATAATTTTAGAAATTTATTAGAAGTGTTGATTTTGCTTCCACATTTGAATTAATGGCTTTAGTTGCAGAAATGCAAAAATATTCAGTATCAAAAAAAAAAAAAAAAAAAGAAGAAAAATATGCTGTTAAATAGAATTATATAAAATATAAAATATATAAGCATGAGGTCGTAGGAGACTAGGAAGACTGAAATCCTTTTTAGGTTACTAATTGTTGCAAACCAGAAAGATGGTTCTTTTCTTTTGACAAGCATATTTTCTTTATGTTGTCATAAAGACAGTCATTGTCTCTGTCATTAATGTGGAGATTTTGTCAGAATATTTGCTTTTCTTATACCTGTATTGTGTGACATGGGTAGCCTTTTTGTTTTGTTTCTTCTTCTGTATAATGGGGATTCAAATTTCTTATTAATTTTAGGAAGATATACTTGCTAATATTTGTAAAACTTTGGAGTAAAAACAGAATTATTATTTCAGCATCTGAAGCTCATGTCATCATGAAGCTTACATGTTCAAGCCTTAAAATCAATTAACAGGACACATTTCTGGCCATCCCTTTAACTTTTTGTAACTGTGTCACAGTTTTTTGTTTTTTTTTTTTTCTTCCATTGCTGCCTTTCAGCATTCTAAGAGTGTAGAAATTTCAGTCATGTAGTGAACCTTCCCTGATTCCTCATGCCAGACTAGCTGAAGTGCTGGGACCTGGAGGTAGAGTCTGTGCTCTTCTGACAAGTGTCAGGAGAGACATATGTGAAGAATGGAGGAATCCATTCTTCTAACAGTCACCCTGCTGTGATAACAAGAGTGAACAGCTTTATGCAAGAGGTTTCCAGGCTGATCCTGACAGGTGCATCATCTCTTGGTGGGAAATGATTGTTATTCCAAGGAACAGACTATATGAACTTATTGTTCCCCAAAGTAACAAAATCTGTGCCTCCATGTTACAGAATAGAGCATTTGTAGAGTGTGAGCTTCACATTAATATACTGAATTCATGCACAAAATTTTCTACTTGCTTCTTAAAAACTCTGATCTCTGGAACACAAAAAACCAAATTATCAATTTGCCTATATAAGAGCTTCTGTCCAGTTGCTCTAAATTACCTGCTCATGATAATGCCTTTAGGTGTTCTAAAAACAAAAATAAATAATTGTTCAGGCTTTCATAGTAAAACATGCTTTAAGTTTAAAACATTTTTTTCACTTTTCTTTTGGCAAAGAAGTTTCATTTAGTTCTATTCTTTCCTGCACTGCCTAGCAATTAACTTCTCACATGGTGCTTTTTAACAGGATGTTAAAATTTCTTCCTGTGCAGTAGGTTTGGAATTCCTGCAAGGAAGTGTGTACTTATACCTGGTATTACAGAAAAGAAATGTGGAAATCAGCTAGAGAGAAAGTCTGGGATCCCAGAGAGAAATATAGGAGAGTAATGCTATCCATAGCTTTATTCATGTATTCATATTTTGTGTAAGATATCCTTTCCTGTAGCCTTGGATGTAATGTAACTTGATACTAACCCATTTGAAATTATGCCTATTGTAACATTTTTAGGTTGTAAAGCTCACAAACATTCGCAGTTTGACCAACGTTGCCAAGACATACCAAATGCTAGCTCTAAATTCCTGTCATTTTGTCAATCTCAGTGTTTTTGGCCCCAGCACAAGCCACTAATTCAAGCCAGCTCCAACACAATACTGGAATTAAGTGTTTGAAAGGAAAGCCATACTTGGAGGCAATGGGTGTAATTTAAGTTCACAGAAAAAAAGCGTATATTTTGTGTAGTTGTTTGTATAGCCAAATAAACAAGAATTGTACCATGGGGTGGTGGGAGGGGGAACAAAAATGAAACATCTCTGGAAGCCTGTGGATCTATGACTAAAACTTCTCTGTCCTAGTACAGCTAAATAATACTAAAGAAGAACGGAAGATTTAAAGAGAGGGTCTTGGACTATTCTTGTCATGGAAAAATGTTGAATTTAATTTATAAAATTCCGCTACATCCTTGTTGATGTAGCGGAAGAATAAAAAACAGAATTCAGTTTTGCCTTTTTTTTATTTTTTAAGTTGATTTTTAATCTTTTTTTGAATACAATTTTTTCTTGTGTTTCCTTAAAATTTACAGTGCTCAGTGATACCCCAGAAGATGAGCAGAACTTGAATGTGAAGATACTGATTTTGCTGAATCTGTTTGAAAAAGATATTCCAGAATCAAAGAAATACCCTTGAACAAGACATTGGTGGTGAGTTTTAGAGACCACTTTCTTGTAAATGTTTGTAGCTTAAAAATTATTTGTTGAATTTCTACTTTTCTCTGCAAGATTTCCTGTGAAAGTAATTGTTTGACATAGTGTCAAGAAGAAATTGTTTCATTTAACTGAAGGCTTCCACATTTGTTTCCAACAGTCTGCAGAAACTATTACTGTCATTCCTTAAAATATGTTTAAAAAAACCAAAACCAAGCAGCATCCCCAGCTCGTAGGAATTAATTTATAAAACCTAAGAACTTTAAGGACATCTTTAAGGAGATGTCTGCTTCTTGCAATTCTCTATTTTGTACAACATACTTCATTTTAATAGGAATATATATATATATATATATATATATATTAAACTGTATGTCAGTAACTCTGCATTGCTGATGTCTGTATCTTATTTAAAGTCACAGTGTGACCCCCAGAGTAGTGGCAGCTTTGTGTCCTCCATACCAAACTGTACCCGAGGCAGTGGGAGTGTAATACTGGGAGTTGCTATGGGGTCACTTTAGCCTGAGCACCTCTCCGGAAAAGCCTGTGACCATCCCTTCACTGTAAATTCTCAAAGCAAGGTGAGCTGAGTAGGAGCTGTGGAATCTTCCCTTTCCTGGGCTGTTGGAGAGTGTTTTTGTACTGCTCATAGGAAGACTGGAGAGGGTTTCTCAGTCCTCTCACAGTCAGGGAAGGAAAATAATTCTCCTTGCTTAGAGTTTCCTGTTGCCTGTGGTAGCAGGGTCATGGTTACCAGTGGTGCATTTTCCCCCTCCCACGTCATTTCAATCCTCTTTCCTGTTGTGGTGAAGCTCAGGGAAGGAGCTGAGAGTATCTTGGTGATAAAGCAGTCCCTCTGTGGGTGCATGAACCAGCTGCAAGCCTGGACACAGTGCACACAAGGTACCTTTTGCAGAGCAGGAATTCCACTTAGCCATACTGGAATGCCAGGCCAGTGTGATTTTGCTGCTGCTGGGGGTAATTACCATACCTTCAGCTACGGGGAGCTGAGTATTGAGGGAGAGAAACAGGCTTTCCTACCATTTCCATTATCATGCGAGATTTGCGTCCATGCAGTAGCTAAAATACTCAAAGAAGAGTATAAATGCTCCAAGTTCCAGGAACGTGATAAGGAAAATGCAAAGAATCAAATCTCCACACCCTGGAAAAATAATACACAAATTTGATGCTCTTCTTAATGTGGCTGAACACTTCAGCTTTGCTACACCAGTAATTTTTCTCCAAGTAGTTGTAGAAAAGCACATCTCCACTATAAAGGTGTTTTGTAGTCTCTCACTGGAAGATTGTTTTTGCTCTGTATTTTAAGTCCATAATTCCCATTGTCATAATTCCTATTTGATAAGATTTATTAGTGATATAAGTATAATTTTTTACCATCTCAGAGAACTCTTAAAAATCCTAATTATCTGGGGGAATTATTATGACAGGAAGTACTGGTTTTTGTTACTAGTTATTGTTCTGTCAAAAGCTAATAATTATTATGTAATGACAGCTACTTCAATATTGAGGAGCATTTCTTCCCCTAATCATAAGACATTTGAATTAATTTTTACTGAATATGCATTATATCTATTAAAGTGATTGTAATAGCTAAAAAGACTTTTATACTTTTTCTTATCCACACTTCTGCCCTTCCCTGCAGACGCTATGCAGTTATGTTTTTCTGTTGAATCCATAACATGTAACACTGCATATTTTCTGAAAATTTAGAAATTTCAGAGAATTGAACTGAATTTTGCATTAATATATGTCAGATAATGGCAGAAGATCATGTTACTCTATTTTCTTGGAAAAATTTATTGGAAAAGGATCTGTTTTCAAGATCTGGACATCAACTTCAGTTAAATATAATGGCATGATAAATAGAATTCCTGAGTAACATGTGCATTTTCTCTGAGATGGATATTGGTTTGAGGGAAAAGGAGTAAACTGAGACACAGAAAAATTCACAGAACACTACCACATGAAGATGTAGTCATTCTCTGATACCCTGAGCTTCATTCACTCTATTTGAGGACTGCAAGCATGGATCTTTTTCATATCTTGTTCCTTTTGTTGCTGCTTGTGTGGAAGTGGCCTCCATGAAATCTGAAGCAACTAAGTGCATGACTTAGCAAGAGGATGGATAAAAAAGAGACTGTATAGTCAAGACATCTAACAATAAGTCTCAGAGATAATATGACTATGAAAACTGGTAAAATAGAGTTAATGTTTTGATATCATTAATTGTAGTTATCCTGTTGTTCTTAAGTAAAACCAATACTGTCCTCTGAAGTCTGCTCTGAAGTTGCTTTGGAACTCTAAGAATAGCATCCAGTCTGTCCTATAATAGGTCTTTCTATAGGGTAAGTGATGGAAGGTTTATCCTGTGTTTTCCCTTCTCTAAACCTCTTCTGAGCTGTCCCAGAAGCCTAGAAGTTGCAGCATGGAGCATCATTGCATGTCCCAGAGTACTTATCCTAATTATTAAAGTAAATACATAACCTTGCTATTTGTCAGCTGTGTAATTTGCTTTGAAAAGATATGCTGTCAAGATTATTTGTTTTTATTCAAATTCCTTCTAGAGCCATGTTAGGCAGCCTCATTGCTTTTTGTGCAGGACTGTGAAAGAGCCTCTTTTTTGACTTAGCAGCATGTTTTAATCACAGCAGCAGAGATTCTGGCCCTCTGGGCTTACTTAGATATTGTGAAAGAGTGCAATTTTAAATCATGTCAGCTAATTTCTGTAACATAGACATTTTAAATAGTACTTTAAAACCCACATACACAAAGATGAAGGTAGTTAGTTTAGTCTAGGGGAATTATCATCTTTGCTCATACTTCACTATTTCACAGTAGCTTGGAATTTAAATAATTTTGCATTGCACAAACTGTAAAGAAAAAATACTAATAATTGTCCAGGCTGACTTGGACCCATCATACACACAGAGTACTAAAAATGCATTAATCGGTATATTTTTTACTTAAAATGATTTCTGATTATGCATATATGTTTTCAATGGAGCTTGGAACACCTTTATTTACACATTGTGAAAAATAGCTAATTTATGTATGCAGTTATTATACAAATATTGTTCTTTATTTCAGAGTTAATTCCATCTCTGATACTTCTATTAATGTACATTCTAGTTTTTAGGGTGCTTAATTTCCAGTAGGCTGAGTACCTGAAAAGTAAGCTTTCTTTATTATTTCTTTACCTCTTTTTTTTTTTTTAATGTATACTAGGAGCCCTTTAATCTGTCCAAATGCTAAGGAAGATTATCAGAACAAAAGTGAAACCTTAAATGAAATTGCTAATGCTGTTTTGTAATGTTTCCTTTCTAGTTTTTGATTCACAGGATGACAGTGCAGTAATTGGAAAGCTCAAAGGAGCAGTGGAAGCCCTCCATGCGCTGCCCTCAGTCGAGAGGGGAATGCAAAGATGACTATGAGGCATGAAAGGAAGTTTGCCTACAGAAGAACCTTCTCCCAGTGTAAATACATGCTTGATAGTGCATCAAAGATGAGATCTTTGTAATTCCTGCAGTATATTTAATGTATAATTTATATGAAAAGGATGCTTGATTTGTAGTTGTAAAGTTTTGTATACTTTTCAGTCTGTTTGTTTTTATATTTCCCCCCTAAGGCTAAGAATATCTCCACAATGGACAACGTCTTTTAAATAATTAATACCTACATGATTGAACTACGTGCTTTATTTGCATTTTTAAGATTTTTTTCCTACATAAAACAGTAATAAAAATGCAAGTCAAAATTTTAATTTTTAATAAAAAAACCATAAGCCTTAGAAAACTGATTAAAAATACTTTTATGTTATCCCTAATCACCCCGTTAAATGGAATGCCTGTGATTAGCCTCATTAAGAATTTTATACTGTGAAGATTTTATTAAAAGCAATATATGAAAATTACTTGGATTAATGTGTTAATCTGCCTCTTTAAAATGCTAATATCCATTTTATGCACATTAAATCTCAGTATGTGTTTTCTTTGATGCATGCAGTTCCTATCAATTAAATATAAAAAATTAGGCTAGTTGCAGGACTTATTAAATTACTGCACCCCTTTTTTTAATAACTTTTACCCTTCTACTAACATTATAATCAGCTGTTTATGGTTACCATAATTTGAAGTTAGGGGGAGGGCATGCGCAATCATTTTCTGTACAGTAGATGATTTACTTGCAGCCAACATCTGTCAAAGCACAAAAAGAAGCCACAGAGTATCAGATTTTGCTTCACCTACTTTGGGATTTGGGGATGTGCAACTGTTTTGATTTGGGTTTTGTCACTTTTAGAACTTACATCAAACATATACAATAAACTGTTGTATCAGAATTACTACTGTCTAGTGCGGAAAGTTAATTTTACAGCTTTTAACCAATCTCAGTGAAGGATTTAATTGATATTTTTAATGGAGCTGTGAATCAATGCTGCAAAAGGATTGTCTCTTGAGAACGAGGATATAATACATTTCATTTTTTAATTTACTTTTTTATTTGTCATTTTCTTCAAAGGATGTTATAGACTGTGGATTTCCACTGTTTGCAAACAGGCTATGTTTCTTCATAAGCATATGTAAAGTATTCAGAGAGATAAGTAATTTATTAAAATCTACCTAATTTGCCGTGATATATTAAATCTCTGCTTCAGTGATCACAGACCATTTCATTTAGAGAATTAGGCATTCCCTCTTTGTGTGATTAAAGCTCTGGAAAATGAGTTCTTTGCTCCTATTTGTGAACATTCAAAGCCTGCTAATGGCAAGAAGATGGAATAGATTATGAGACAATTCATTACAGTTCAACAGAAAAAAAAACTGCTATAATGCAGAAATGCAAGTATGAATATCTGCATATAGTTTGAACCATCTGTGCTCTAATGGCTTCAGTAATGGCTCTTCGTCTTCAGTAGGCTTTGAAATGACATCCATACAATATTAATTTGTTGATGTACATTATGAGGCCAATGGAATGAATATATTCTGACCACAGAAATCTCTGAATTCCAGCATGGTCTGCTGGTTGACTCCATTTTAGGACTTACCATCTTCAGTAGGGCTTCTCATCCAGACTTTGCCAATCCTCACAGCGTTTCATTCCTCTGGAACTTTAGGAGACCACAGACAGCTGCATTCCTAAACCCCTCCATTCTTCAGTTAATGGCCATATGTTTGTTGTCATTTGGGCTGGCACTTAGTTCATCATTTTGGCCACTATTTCTAGCTTTTTTTGGCTCTGTGCATCCATATTGTCAATAAGACTGTTATTATACATTACAATAATTTGAAACAGCCAGATTCAACACTGAGATTAACTGAGTGGCTTTTTAGAAATTTAGTTGTGGTATTCTGTCAGGAGGTTCTTATTATTCTTCTAATACTTTGCAAACCAAACTAAATATCCTGCACATAAACAAAGAAGCGAATTGTATTGAGTTTTTGTGTGTGACTGTTTACTGACTTGCAGGAGAACTATGTTAACTGGTGCTTGTTTTCTTCTGAAATAAACCATGTGGTAAAATTAGAAAATCAGTGATGTTCATCTCACTTAAACATTTACAGTAACACCCTTAACACTTAATCTTCGCCATCTGAAGTTGGAAACTTAGAAACCAAGAGTTCATATATTCATTAAACACAGATCTCTTCAGTAAGTTACTGAAAAATATTCCAGTTGACATTTGGTTACATTGTGTTAACTGCTCTCAGTGACTCCAACATTAACATGTATAATTTGCCTCAGGTTCCTAGACATATTTCTTTGTAAGGCTCACTGTTACTCAGTTTCAGATTTTAAGAAAATAATCCTGATTTCTATTCATGTTTATTGCTAAAACAGATATAATATTCAGCAAGGATTTTCCCAACAGATGGATTGTATTATCTTATGCAACATAAACATATGATCATAGCAGAAAGTCTTGTTCTTGCATTAAGTAGTCTGTATTTCCAAAAAGCTCTTAAATCTTAATTCTAAATGCTGCATTGTGCAGGGAAAGTGGAAGATGTAACCTAGTACTATTTTGACTAGATTTTAGCAATTAATAGCTTGAATAAAACATGCATCTATGTAATCTCTAGGCTAAGGTACAAAGGAGCCATATTAAAACTGGGTACTACCATGCTTTAAAGTGTTACTCAATAAAATTCATTTTTGTGGCATAGATGAGTTTTTACTATGGCGTAAGTTGGTCACCACAGGGGTTCTGCACAAGATGAAATGACAGTGTCAAATGATCAGTTTTGTTATTATATCTTTTCACATTTATTGTTACAGCTTATAGCTTTATGATGATATCTTCTGATGTGATATGATAACTGCTATTCTCCAGGTTCCCAGGAATGTTGATCAAGATGGAAAGTTTTTTAGCTCAAATAAACTTTATCTGTTTTAAATGTTGCTTTTAACCTTTTATAACCTTAACCTAGGAACAGAAGTTATACGAGTAAATAAATCATGAACCAGGTAACAGCTCTGTGAAGTCAATCAGTCTTGCCGTAGAGTAAGTCAAAGCTTATCTCGTTATATAAGAGGAGATATAACATGATAAAATGTATTAGTTTCATAGATCAATATTAAAGTTAATAGTACTATTGTTTTAAAATGCTTTTTATTATTTCAAGGCATAGTGAGACATTATCATAGTTCAAGAAGTCTTCAAACATATCAAGACTAAATATTAGCTGCTAAATTTGATTTGATTGTTTTGTGTTGGAACTGAGAAATAATTAAAATACAGGTTTAAAATTGTACTACAAACCATATTTCATATTTCAGAGCCAGAGAAGTATTACATGTTTTAATTACAGACAGGTCTTTCTGCAGGTAATAACAGTGACTTGTCCATCAGTTTTTTGAGATACTGCAAAAGATAATATTTTTATACAACTTCACCTATGTCACTGTTTATGTTATAGCTCTTAGCAATTTGACTAGATCCTGCAACTGATACTGGAAGAAATTGTATTAAATTAATTGCAGAATATGAGTTCAGGTTAGTACCTTAGTATGCACATGATAAAAATTTGCTTTTGGCACAGTAAGCCAGATGTGTACTGGTTTTTTGCTTTTCGTTTCTTTTTGGTATTTATGACAAATTTTAATTCTTTTTCCATCTTTTAAAATGGGACGAGGCAACTTCTGAGGAGCTTGAATAATTCATCTGTGGGTTTTAGAAGAATTTTAAAAGTTTTTTTTTTTATTTTTAAGGTCCTTGTTGAATCATACTTCAAGCTTTCAGCATCTGGCAGCATCAAAGTCTAACTCCTAGCAAAATTTCATCTCCAACAAGAGCTGCTTGTAAATGATCAGGTACCAGCTGAGGATGTTTTGTCTGTGGAAATAAGCCATTACAAACCTTCAAACAGAAATGCTTGTGGATTTCAGTAGTAGTAGTTCTGTCACAATATTATGTCAGGATAGGATCATTCAGGCTAAGGAGACCTCAGGTGGTCTAGTCCAGCCTCCTGCAGGGTTAGGGATATCCAGGCTGGGCTCAGGGAACAGTTTTTGTCTGTGTGCCCTTTCCTGAGCTGGTTTCCAGGCCAGGCTGGATACAGCCCTGAGCAATGGGGTCTCACATCAACAACTGACCATTGCTGGTGTCCAAATATGTCTTAATTCAGTAGTCCAGTATCTGCAACTGTGCAAGACAGGTCTTGAGCACCATCTAGAAATGATTTGTTTGTGGATTTGGAAAATAATCTATTTCTTAGTTAGATGAAATGTCATCCTTGTTGAATGCAAAATTATTTCCTACATATTCAAGCAGCAAGAACTGAAGTGTCCTTGAAAAACTATTGGAAAAATGAGGTCTTTCTATTACTACAAGAAAAAAGATCAATGAAGTGAAGTTTCTTTTTCTTGCAGAACTGTTATCGACCAGTGATTATTTTGATTACCTACTCATAAGTATAAATAGCTACTGTAGCTGATAGTCTTTGACTTCAATGATAATGAAAAACAGAAGATGTTCTACCATATACATGGCAATTTTCCCAGATAAATGAAAGAAGTAGACACCAATCAGCATCTGATTCCAAACACAAAGTACATGAACAATAAAGAGAACACAGCAAACTTAAGAAAACATCAGAAAATCTTTATGGAAAATCCACATTTTGAAAATACTTCTTAACCTTTCCTCTGTAATAAGCAGTTATTTTAGTATACCAAAATCAGACCCATTTGGAAACTTTCCAATTGGTATTGTCAGTGGTATAATTTACATCTTAGATTAAATGCACAAAAATGGATCTATTTATAAAACAGAACCAGTTGTGTATCACAATGCAGTACAGATATAACCTCAGCAACAATATATATTGGCAGGCCTATCTATAGTTAGGGAAACAAGTCAGTGTAACTTGTCATTTATTTTAGAATGGAATTTACAGTGATTGACTCAAAGTCTGTAGTAACAGAGCTTTCTGCAGACGTTTGTGAATGTTATATGGGATTGTATTTCCACCCACAACATCAGACATGATAGGGGCCTGTAACAGAGGCCCTGTACAGCTCTCTATGCATCCTACAGCAGCACGTGTTATGGGGAGCACTGACTGCTGCAGCTTGGTGAATCTCTCTGTATCTTCTCTTTTTGGGCTGGCCTGTTTAAGAAGAGCACAGAATTTGGCTCTTGGGAAGCCTGTAAGAGTGAGACAAGCTGTTTCTGCATTTTCATCCTTCTCTGAAGGACATTCTCCCTACAGCAGGGAAGTGGGAGGTGGATTTTCTACTAATGGTGAGTTTTGTTTTAAAATCAACAGAAGGGCTCTGGAGAAAGTTGACAAGAACTTCCTAGATGCTACAAACCAAAATACTTTTTGAGTTACTTCTGCAGTAAGTGGGAAGTCCAAATTCTATCAGGTCCACAACCCTAATTCTTGCACTTGGTTCATTGTAAATTTTTGTGAACTTTGGCAAGTTTCAGTTGTGACAGAAAAAAAACAGAGCACAGAAAGATGTAGGGAAAAGAGATTAAGCTCTGAGAATGAGTTTATCTTTTAGAGGGCAACAGATTGACTTGACAATCCAACAGAATTGTTTCCTCCTAACAAAATCAATCCTTGAAAAGGTCCCAAATAAAAGCATCTGTGATGTTGCTGAGAGAAAGGCTTTTATTCAAATAAGATTTGAAATTACTTAGGCATTTACTGGAAGTTTCCCTCAATCTTTATGCTTGCCATGTGAGAAAAGAGGTTTTACAATTAATGAAGAAGAAGCATAACAACTTGTGACTGTTCTGCTGTATTTCAGCTAATTCCTACACATCAGTGCCCATCGTCTGGGGGGAAGCAAGAAAGGACTGGAAATCTTTTCATAACATTTCCCACCTCTGCTGAGGCAGGCTGAGGAAAATCCCTGTAAGCACAGACCACCAGGGTGCAGCCTGGCTGCTGGTGGAGGAGAGGTGGGACCTGAGAGATTTAAGAGCTATGTCCACCCAAGAGGAACTTCAGTAGCTGTAAAGGATTTGGTGATTTTTGAGTGCCTGCAAGGAATATGGGCTCCTTCTTGGGGTTGGTGTGTATCAGTGGGGAAAGGGAGGGTCTGGGGCTGAGTAGTTTACATGGGAGATATCCTGGAATACAAGGAACAAGAAAAAATAACATAAGGAAATGAAAAGGAAAATTGAGAGAGAAGTTAAGACTGTAAAGAAGTGTGTGTCCTATTCAAAGTGAGCTTTCCCATTGAGCTTCTCCTCAGCATCTCTAACAGGCCTGGGGCTTGATGCAAAAAAGAGGGATGGCCCAGGTGAGGATCCTGGAGGGGTGTGGGGTTGGTGTGAATATGGGTTTCTCTTTGCTCATTTACCTGTTTTAGTATTGAGCCTGATTTCCTGAAGCTTCTACATTAGAGAAAAAAGGAGGTTTCCATAAATGTCTGCAGGATTTTTGCCTTGGAAGCGAACTTGCCAGGACTCCGCTAGCAAGTCTATCACACAGGGGTTATTTTTTTGTACAAAGGGAAGATACAGGACACAACTGAACTTTGCAGTCTGGTTGTCCCTCCAGGATGGCTCTCCTCAGCCACATCATCTACTATCCATGTGAAATCCAGCTCTGGATACAAGTGCATAGGCAAATGAGCTGAAGCTGAGTCCTGGCACACAGCTCATGAAAGGGCACACAGTCAAAAACATCAGGGGGAGACAAAGAGGGTGCTGGAAAGAAGCTGTTTGATTTCACCTGGAATTCAGTCCTGTCAAAACACATTAAAAAGACAGCATTGTTCTTCTCAGACTTAGTTAAAAGACAAAAACACCCCAGCAAAAATATCAAAATAAAAACAAAACCAAAAACAATTGGGAAAAAAAAAGAGAAAAATAAACAATAAAACCCACAACAAAACAAAATCCAAAAAAACCCACCCAGTAATTTGTAAAACATCAGAAATTACAGGATCATGAGGTAATCTCTTGTGGTAAAATGTCTGGTCTGGTTTTTTTTACTATGCATTTTATGATTAATTTTCCTTGTAAAGTAGTACTGTTGATACCAGTTACACACTCTGAGTATTAACATGGAAATGTAAGTTCATTTTGGGAACTGCTGGAGGGTGTATGCTATTCACATCTTGTAATCCTTGTTTATGTTATGCTCTGTCTATTAAGTAAAACAGTTTAAGTGCACTGAAATGGGAGATTTATATTTTAAGGTGGGGTTATGTTTAGAGAAATAATTGTTAGCTGCATCAGTGAGAAAAGCAAATACATAGTTCATTTTCTTTGGGTTTAAAGCCAGACAAGACATTTGTTGTAAATTATTCTTAGTCCTTAACAAAGGCTCTTGAATTTAGTTACCTGCCTGAATTACTGAAGGATCTCAGACCACTTTAGGAGCAGGGTCTGCAGTCTCTCGCTTTGTTACTGCAGTTTGATATCCAGTGTGGCTTGCTCTCAAGCTTGAATGGAGTGGGACAGTTTGTCTGATTTGGTCCCCATTATTTGACATCCTTCACTTGAAATCATGGTTCTACCCAAATTTACAAAAAACTCATCCCAGGTCTGACCATTTCATTGTGTGAACCTCACAGCCAGACTAGCCCTAGTTTGGGATTTATTACAAGTGTTATTGTTCTACTTTACAAGGTTTGCTATAAAAATATTTTCAGTGCTACTCTACTACTTTACTTCCACCAGTCTGATAATTTAAAAATTAAACATAACTTTGAAAGGTAAATTAGTTTTTTGCATATTAAATGATATAAATTATATAACATTTTAATTAAAAATTATAGTTGTATAATATAGTGAAGCACATTTGGAAAATATTATTTTATGTCTTATTTTTTTTCCCTTTGTTAGCATGCTTCATTTTAGCATTTGCTGCCAGGGGAAATGTATGGCAAAACTCTCATTTTTCAGATGATTCTAACTTGATATACAATATAGAACACAACTTTATTCTTAAATGTGAATTCATTGTTAAACACAATCTCATTATGCATGCTAAAATCACTAATAAATATTTTTCTATTATGTCAACTTCTATATTAATCCATGTTCTGATTTTTAGGCTGTTAAACAGGGAAGAATTATTTACCAAAATGTACATGTGGAAAAATAATCTTTTTGAGATTGGTCTCTCAGAAATCCTTTGACAGCCAAGTAGAGGAATATAATTGTCCTTGTCTTTCATTTCTCAACAGCTTTGAGACTAGTTTGTTATTTTATCTTGCAGCATTTTTCTAGTATATACACCAGATATTTCTTCAGCACGGTACTTGGAGTAGAAAATGGGAATTTAAAAACAAAACTTTGCATTTTACAGAATTGATACAGCCCACACAGTAAACTTAGGTAAGTGCTGAAAGTACCCATGTCGTGTCATGATATTATAGAGCAGAATGAACAAAGCACCACTTGTGGATGAAAGTTGCCCCCTACTGTCTGTTGTAACATGTGCATACAGAATTGTTATTCACAACTTTTGAGGTTAATTTGTCTACTGTGTCTTAAAAGAACATGTTTTAATTCTAAATTTTAGAATTTGATATGGAAATATGGTGCATAGAAGATCCAATGTTACAGGAAGAAAATGAACTGAAAGACTGCTCTAGTAAAAGCTTGGTCCTAGCATTTGCTAACAAACATTTATTGAGATAATGATTGGTGTTTCGTTTGTAATTTTGAGGGACTCTCCATCCTTGATAGTATTATGAATATTTAAAGCAAATTTGTTTAAATTTCAGGATCTATTTAGTTGCTGCAGACTACCCCTTTGTGAGCTCTTATTTCAATTATACAATAATTGCAGAGTATTGTTCCATAATGTACCAACCACATATGGTTAATCTGAGAAGCATTTTTTGTTCAAATAGTTGTAGACATTAAGAAAGAAACATACAAGCTTTTAAGTTTTTTTAAAAATCTTTCCTGAATTCTGTAAATTCCCTTAAATAGTAGTAGTTAGTATAGCTTCACTACCTATGGAGACTTTCTGAGAATTTGTCAGCAATGAAAATTAGCAGGTCAAAATCCTTACATGCATAAATAATTTAAGGACTGAGAAGAAATTAATCACAAATGCCAAACCTCTGGGAAGCTTGTAAAGCATTGTCCCAGTCACAATGTAAATATATGCCCTTACTTACACTGCACAAGTGGTACTTGGAAACAGCTACAGTGATAACAAAACAATTGCCAATATTTATGCCTTCAAATTATGTCTGTCAGAACAACTTCCATGTACAAATCTTAAATGATTCATTCATAAATGCCAAACATAACTTTGCAGCAGATGATGACTGGTATCACATTGATATTATTAACTTTTTTACATTATTATTATTATTAAACCTTAGATACAATTTCTGTTGGATGCTGAAATAGAGGTTTTTTTCAAATACAATCTTTGGATTGCAATTTCCAACAAGGAATCCTTAAAGCATTTTACAAACTGTGTAGCACATAGAAATTACTTTGAAAAGAGAAACAGAAAAGAACCCCTTCCTCGAGGCAGTTGGTGAGAGTTGAGGATCTGTCAATGACAAAGTGGCAACACAACCGTGCAAGGACTAAGATTGCAGAGCTAATGGTCTGTTTTTGAAGGCACACACTCTTTCTCTCAGTCCCAGTACCTGTTGCTCCTGTTGGTACTACTTCTGTAGAAAACCCATTTCTCTTTTTGAGGATTTATTGGTGCTGTCAGGGAGATGTCAAGCAGGAGGCAGCTTCTCTTTGGATGTTGCTCTAAATGTTAAGCTTTGTATGCCTGCAGGGGACAACAGGAGAAGCTTAAGGAACAGAAATCCATGGAGGCTTACTAAATGCTTAGAAGTATTAGAAGGCACTTGTGGCTCAGAAATGCCCCGAGCTGAAAAAAGGTAGGGGGTGAGAGAATGATAGGAGGATGTGTTATATATTCTTTTCCTGCTGTTGTTACTTAGGCACTCCCAGTGACTTAACCATATCAGAACATGAAATTAAGTCTTGTCCTGGTTGTTAGGCTTCCTACTTCGTTGCTCAAAAGAACTTGTCAATAATATGTACTGCATTCTGCAGAGTTCTGCTTGGGACAGCAATACAGCAGAGACTTTTAAACTGGAAAAAGAGGAAAAAAATCTTTGTTCTTCAGTTCCTTGCAGTCCATAAGTACTTTTGTACACAAACTGTACGCAGTTTTCAGTTTGGGGTCATAATGGGACTTAACTATTCTGTAACCCAGCAATCAAATTATCACTCAGTGGCTTTCAGACTTGCCACTCTCGCTGTTCTTTAGCCACTGTTATAATTTGTAGACTTTAATGTTTGCTGCATATGCTTTGAAGTTTTTAGTATATGCAAAAATGCATATTTGAACAAGTAACCACTGTGTAGCAAATTTGGGACTTCGTCTCATCCAAACTGATGTGATCCCAAAATGTTCAGTTTAGCAAGGGTTCACTGTATCCCAACAGACTGTAAATTTATCTGTGTTAAGTTTAAAAACAAAAATAACAACATAACAATTATATTTATAAGGATCCACAAACAGGGTCAGAGCAAATAACAGTTCTGATTCAGTATTTCTGAAAGAATGTAGACTGATCAACCTAAAAGCCAGGCATCCTGCAGTACTGCAGATGGCTTTCTCAGAGAAAGAATGATAAAAATAAGTACTTAATCCTAGAAATTTACGGGAAGATATTTGAAGAGGAGTATTTTCCAAATTTCCCAGGGTTTGCTTCTTGACACTTTCTATTGTAGTTCACTTTTATCACATGTGCAAATGTTGAGTCAGTCTTTAGTTTGACTTTTATATTGCCACCTTTGCATCAAGTGTTACTGAGTTCATTGCTCTCCTGGTGCCACCAGCATCGTTACCAGCATGTTTTAGCCTGTCTTTATCTACAACATTCCTGCTGATCAAAGTAACCAGAAGTGGAACTTTACCATCAGTATTGTACATCCCTCTGTGTACTTGAGATCGTAATTTGTATAAATTTAGAGGCATATACTAATGCAGTATAAATGCAAATGTGAAATAAAATATTGACTTCTGTATTTCTCCCCTTAACATATACCTTAGCTGCTATAGCACAGAAGCTGACTAAATTCTTCTATGGATTGTGCCTTGGATCAGAATAAAAGCAACAACTTTATATATTACATATATTATATATTACACTGGGCAATCTGAAGTATCTCAGAGAAAAGGCTAGTTTGTCTTTTCAAATGTATGGAAAGGCAAAAATCCATCTGTCAGAGTAATAACAAGGTCCTGTTTAAAGAAACAAATTTCTACTAGTGTCAATACATTTACTGTAGTTTCCCATTAAACCTTGTTGCAATTTATTTTCTTCTTCACTAGATGCAACATATTTAACTGAAAAGTAGTTGCAATAATGTGAAGTTTTCTGGAAAGTCATGAATACCTTATGTGTGTGGAAATGTGTTCAGTTGCCTGTTGCTGCACAGCCATTAATCTGATGAATAAAGAGTTTGCACATGGGTTCACTCAGAGAGTTAACATCTGATTTTACGTGGAAATATTTGAAAGAAAAAGTACAGCATAGCCTGAAGCCTGTTAGATTTTTAGAGATTTATTGAATGCAGTTTCTTGCTTTGGTTCCTATTGTCTACTTAGAAAAGAATGTTGTTTTGAAATTTAAAATGAAATAAAGGGAAACAATTCAAACAGCATTTCTACTGGACAAAAATTCCTTTACTTCAAACACATACAAAACCTGTCAGTTTTCATTACTCATCTATTGTTCTGCTATTTCATTATCTTCTACATTAAATCAGTTGATTCCCCACCTTTACACTGGTGTTTTGGAGATAAAATAAAGGGGCAGGAACTATCTTCATTTATCAACCTGAAATAACATCAGCGTTTGTATTGAGATAATATTTCTGTCAATAATTCATTTTTAGAACAAAGAATGAATAGTATTGGTAGTTATTGTTTCTCTCTGTGGAGATAAATGCTTGATGTAGGAATTACTAGTTTTAAATTATAGGGCAATACTTAATCTCATCTTGATCTAAAAGGGATTAGAATTTCCTGGTGAATTCAGGAAATCTTCAAACATAACCTGTGTCCCTGTTTGCTGCTTCTGTAATTGTTTTTGAATTTATCAGCTCTGGCATGTTGTTAGTGTTGGAGAGAATGCAAAATAGGTGAGGCATCTGTATTAATTAGCTGGATATGTTGAATGACCTGTTATTAATAAGACTGTAAACACTTGGCCTCCAACAGCTACTTCACTCTTTGCCTATTACAGTGCACTGGGTGTGGATGATTAGAATAGTACTTGATTGGAATTTTCCCTGCTTCTTCCTGGGAAGATTTTTAGTTACATTGAAGAGACTTAGGACTTGAATCAGAAATTGCATTGCTTTGACAAAGAACATGTCATGTTGTGTTTGTATTGTTTACTTCACTTTAAAAGCAAGACCAGGTGCCCCACTTGAAAATACTTTTTCTATTTTCAAATTGCTTGTTTAAGATGGTCTTTGCCTCAATTTTTAAAAAATATAGTTTTAGAATATTTTTTGACCTGAGTTGGTAAATTTTCTAGGAGTGTGTTTTGATACAAAAGACAATATGAAATCATCTGTTCTGTGTCCAGTGGTCTAAAGTCTGATGCTTGCTCATTTCTGAGTGAATTCAATTCCTTAATGAAGTTGTGCATACACACTTTTTTGGGTTGTATGGGGATTTTTTGTTGCTGTTTTTTAGAGTTAAATCTGCTAGTTCCTGCAGTTTTTCTAGTGCTCAGTAGCTGTGAGCTAAGCTCAAATGGCAGTTGGGTGTCCTTAGATAATAAAGGTAATGTTAATATTGTGTCCTGGGTTCTGTCACACACCTCAGAGACCAGCTGGCCCATGTGCAAAATAAGCCAGGCCTCTTTAGCTCATGACCAAATACACAGAGCTGAGGCAAGAAAATGAAAGTTTATCTCTTTACTTTTAGCTGCTCCAGTAGATAGCAAGTATTGACTGTGAACAAAACTCTCAAATCCTTCAGACACCACTTGGAATGTTTGGCTGTGATTTATCTGCTGAGGAGCTTCCACAGGAAGGCTTCCTTTTCTTGCCAAATCTTTGTGTATTGGAACAAAGTTTGTTTCAGAGCAAGTTTTACCTTCATTTAGCTTGCTTATTAACTTTGAAAGATTACAAAAAGGTACAGATACAGGCTTTGGTGGCCTGTTGAGGGGTGAAAAATAAAGCCACAGAGTGGAGAGTAAAATAAAATTGTGCAACAAGATATTTGTGGATGAAAGGCCTTCACCACTAAACTGCAGCCACATATTATAGTGCAAACATTTAGAAGACGACATCTCCAAAAGCAAATTATTCCAAATGGGCCA